CATCCCTTTATAGTGGAGATGGATGCCTCAGGTTTTGGGTTGGGAGCGGTACTGTAGAACCAGAGGCCGGTGGCCTATTTAAATTAGGTGTTGATGACCTAAGTAATGCTCAAGTTAGTCTATGAGAGGGAGCTGATGGTGATTGTGCTGGCCATTCAGAAATGGTGGTCGTATCTATTAGGAAGACATTTCATAGTCAAAACCAGAGAAGCTTGAAGTATTTGTTAGAGCAACGAATGGTCATCGAGGAGCATTTAAGGTGGCTTTTCATGTATTGGGCTATGACTTCGAGATTCAGTACCGACCTGGAGTGGAAAACAAGCAGCAGATGGATTATCCAGTATGGGGGAACCATAGATGATGGCATTATCTGTGCCCTTCGTGGTTGACTAGGAAACACTAAGAAGAGAGAGCGAACAAGATGCATGATTGAGGAAAATTAGGGAGGAGCTGGCAAGAAACAAGGATAGTCATCCAGGATATTTAGTTGTGGGACGAAAGTTGCTTTATCAGGCGGCGATTCATGGTTCCCAAGACGTCTTCTTACATTCCCTATTTGTTTCAGGAGTTTCGTGGAACAACCATTGGGGGGCATTCAGGGCCAAAAAGACATCATTGACTCTCGACAGAGCTGCATTTGGAGGGGATGCAGAAGGATGTCAAAAAGATAGTAGCAAGTTGTGATATTTGCCAGAGGCACAAGTATTTAGCCATGTCTCCATGAGGGCTCCTCCAGCTGTTATCTCTGCTTTAAAAGGTGTGGAAGGAGGTTACCATGGGCTTCATTGAAGGTTTGCTAAAGTCAGAGGGATACACTACAATATTGGTCGTAGTAGATTAGCTGAGTAAGTATCCTCATTTCACCCCCCCCCCCCCCCCCCCCCCCCCCCCCCCCCCCCCTCGCCATCCCTATACAACAATAACAGTATCAATGATTTTCATGTAAGAGGTAGTGAGATTACATGGGATCCTGGAATCAATTGTATCTTATTGAGACAAGATTTTCTGAGCTAGTTCTAGAATGAATTGTTTAAAATGCAAGGGATTGTTCTGAAATGGAGCACTGCTTATCATCCTCAGAGGGACGGACAAACCGAGGTGGTCAATCATAGTGTGGAGACTTATCTGCGGTGTTTCATATCAGATACACCAAAGTTGTGGGCAAAATGGTTGGCTTGGACAGACTATTAGTATAACACGTCCTATCATTCGACACTGCAGACTACACCATTCAAGGTGTTATACTGCCTCACTTGATTTATTATGGGCAAGCAGCACACCGGTGGCTTCAGTAGAATAGTACTTGGAGGACAGAGACATGATTTAAGGGGAGCTGAAGAGGCATTTGTCGAGAGCTCAACAAATTATGAAGAAGAAGAGAGGAGCACACAGGAGGGATATTTAGTTTGATGTAGGGGACATGGTTTAGTTAAAACTGTCCCTATAGATAGAAAATGTTGGCACTAAGATGGAATGAGAAGTTATCACCTAGATACTTTGGTCCATACGAGGTAGTGGAACATATCGGGGCCGTGGCATATCGACTATAGCTACCACTTTCGTTAGCCATCCACCTGGTGTTTCATGTGTCCCAATTGCAACGGGTGATAGGAGAGCATATTCCATCTTCTTCACTTCCCCCGACCTTGACGGACAACATGTAGGTGCTCTTGGAACCATTAGAAGTCAAAGAAGCGTGACATGGAGTACATGGAAGCAAGGAAGTGTTGATTAGGTGGATGGACCTACCGGAGCACGAGGCCACGTGGGAGTCCTACCAGATTATTCAGTAGCAATTCCCTTCATTCCATCTTGAGGATAAGGTGGTACTTTGGGTTGAGTATTAATGCATTGGCAACCCTTGGGGGGTTGAACCTGGACAGATTTCAGCTCTTGTTGTGGTACCCAATAAAACATTAATTCATCATGTGAGAAGAGGAATTAAAGAAGGGATCAATTAGGAAAGATTTTCTAATTGAAATTCAAATTGGAAAGGGAAATATATTAGGAAAGAGGGCTGATTTTGGGGCTGATTTGGAGGGGATTAATCAGGAAATATTTCATAATTGAAGAGGACATATTTGAGGGCTGATTTGGAGAGGGTTAATTAGGAGATGTTTCCTTATTGAAGAGGACAAATTTGAGGGCTGTTTTGGTATTTGTTGTGTATTGTTTGCTATAAGTAGTAGGGTTTATGTTATGTTTTGTATGAAGAATTTTGTTTGGAGTCTTATTGTCTACTGTTTTGTGAGTGATCCGAGCAGTGTCTAGGGTTTGAGAGAGGAGATTCTCCTCTCGAAAGAGGATAATTGTATCTTACTTATTCTTATTTTCTTGTTATGAATAAAATCTATTGTTTGTTGAATTTATTGGGGTTGGTTGATCTTATGAAATATTAGCAGCCTATTCTTCTTTCCTGTGTTTTGTTGCATAATGAGATACAAAGCACAAGTTGCTTACTTGATTTTGGGATCCATTGCATTTTCTTCTTATGTAGCCACCTTTTGGATACTTTGAATATTCTCTCTTAGATTTTATCTTCTTTCATTTCTACTTTCATGATTTTGTTTATGTTGATAATTATTTCGAGCGTCAACCCAATTAAGTAAGGCAAAACAACAAACGTATCATATTAGACAAACACCATCCCAGGTCTATAGGGTATCCTTAGACGAAGCAACCCATTGTTGCCGACAAGATTTCTTTTATCAGTTTGGTTTGACTACCTCCTTTGACTAAGTAGACTAGGGATCATGACAGTCCGGGATGATGGAGCTATGGGATCTTGATCGGGCTTGTCTCCATTCCCCCATCACCTCTTTTTAAGTATGTGATGATAAATTTCAAATCTTAAAAATCCATAAAATCTAATTTTAAAAATCTTTAAAAGTTGTTGTTGCTATACGCTGGGTACTCAGTGCCTATTTTACGACTAGCCTTAATCGAAAGTTCTCTCTCGTTATTGGGAGGGGTAATTAACCATAGTGGCTTGCACCTATGGGAAACCAGAACTCAGATTATAAAGTCCTCGCAAAATGATGGTGAAAGCTCTGGGTAGTGTCTTATCTAAAACTCAATTTGCCTTCTAAAAATTTACTCGAAACTTAAATTCATTAAAACTCTCCCCCTCAAGCAAAATACGAAGTGGAAAGGTCGGGGTGTAAATTTTCGGAGCCCACACCATAATTAGGGTGCTGATTTAGGAAGGATTATATTAGGGCAATTATGAATGATTATTTAATTATTTGTTTCTTTTTAAGATAACTTGTATAGATCTGTAAGTAGGAACATAGTTGTGCAATAATATTAAGCTTTTCTCTCTCCAAACTCTGAATTTAACAATATTAAATGGTAAAAATTATATTAATAAGGCAGGTAGATAAATATAATGTCATTCTATTAGAAAGGAGCTGGAAACCAAATTGAAGATGGATAGAAGTTATGCAAAAATATTTGTGCATAATACCTCTTGCGGGTCTCAGCTGGCAAGTATGGTTGACCCCAATTAGTTGATGTAAAACAAGGAGGATTGTTAAAGTTCTACTGGCTATTCTTGCGCACACTTATATTCAAGGTCCTTAAGCAACCTCACTACCCAACGTCTCCATACAACAGAATATTACCCCATGTATCCATGGTGTCCTTGAATACATACATTGTGCATGACTGTTTTGACATTTTGGCATGTTGTGCTGTTATGCTATGCTGTGTCGCTGCTTTTATAAAGATGGAAAGTTTCTTTGCAAATGTGCTGCCCATGGTCTTGACACAAGGTGTATGGCTTTATATTGCATGCTTCCTTTTAAGTTCATCTTTTATTAGGATTTTTTTTTTACACGTTTTCTTCCTGTTTATTTTTTGTTGGTTGTAGTAGGCTGTAGTTGCATGAGGAATAATCTGAAAATGTTCGTAGGTGGATCATAGAATAAGTGATTGAATGCGTTATGTATTACTTTGTTAGCCAGCTTATGACAGTCTCCATTGTTATCTTACACAAATGCAAACTTGAGTCTTCTAACTAGCTGATACCTGATCGGTGTATGTTTTTCTCAAAATTTATTTGTTGGTTATGTATCTTTTGTCCCCTTGTCAACTAGGGGTGTAAATGAGTCGAGTCGAGCACGAGTAGTAGCAAACTAAAGTTCGACTCGTCCCTCAAAAGGGCAACTCGAGTTGAGCCCAAAGAATGAGCTCGAGCTCGATTCATTCATTTTTTATCAGGCTTGAGAGCTTGGCTTGAGGTGAAATCAAGGCCAATGCTCTGCTTCATTGTCGCCGGGGAAGGGGAAGTGCTGGTTGTGGAAAAGAAGATTGGAAGACGAACAGTAAAAAAAATGACGAAGGAGAAGGATGGAATGTTTGTCTTGCAGAAGAAGAAAGTACGGGAAGACGGGGTGTTGTGTAGCTCAATTGCTTTAATTGATTCAGAAAAAGTAAAAACTAAAGAGCAGCAGCTTTTTCCCAAAATTAAAGCAACAACTGTTTTAATTGATTTTTTTTGGAAAGTTGTTCAATTGTAATAATTATTTAGACATTCTTTTGAAATTTGTACAACTGCATTTAATTTATATTAATGGTATAATAAATGCTAGATTTTTTTAATACATAAAAATTATATGTTAGCTTAAATTTTGAATAATTAATTGTCTCGAGTTGGCTCATGAGCCGACAAGTTGATGTTTGACAAGCTTGAACTCATGCTCGAGCTCACGGCTTGATAAGCTTGACTTGCGAGCTTGTTAACGAGTCGAGTTTGACACGGCTCATGAGCTGGATTGGCTCATTTACACCCCTAGGTATAACCTTAAATATAACATGAACTTTTTAGGATATACCGTCCATGTTTTTAGTTAATATTTGATTCCCTTCTTCTATTGCTCTCTCTAAACTCTTTTTTCTGATAACTTTCTTTTCTGTGGTATGTCTGTCTGTGGTTATTTCTTGTATAATGTTCCAGCTGAAATGTGTTTTTTTGTTCTATTTTACCCTGTGTTTTACAGCCTTTGCACAAGGAATTATACAACATGCATCCTTTATCATTTTTTGTCCCATCATTTATTGGAGCAATAAGGGAAAACACAGAAGAGGGTTTCAGAAAGATAATATCGGAGCCGTCGCCTGGAGTATATTCATTTGCAATGCTTCAGCCAAGCTTCTGTGAGCTGCTGTTATCCGAGGTATGGTTCAGTGATCTGGCATCATCTAGAGTGCATTGCCTCAATAACGCTAAATCGTCAAGTTGTGCCATGGAATTATCCTTTCCAATTCCAATACCTTGAATTGATTTAACTGTGTAGGTTCAGAATTTTGAAAAATGGGTAGCGGCTGCTAAATTTAAGACTATGAGACCTAATACAATGAATAAGTATGGTGCTGTTCTTGATGATTTTGGTTTTGAAGCTATGCTTAACAAGTTAATGGAAGAATTTATATGCCCTATGTCCAGAGGTGATAAGCATCTTCGTTTGCTGAAAGTGATTCATTGTCATTGGTGGCATTTAAAATCTTCATATTAATCTAATGAGGTTAGTTTTTCCTTGTTTTCTGCAGTATTCTTTTCAGAAGTTGGTGGATCGACTCTAGATTCACATCACGGATTTGTTGTTGAGTATGGGAAAGACAAGGATGTTAAGTTAGGTATGATTTTTTTTTTTGTGACAATGTTTTCATCTTTCTTCATACATCTTATAGCTTTGCTGATCACCATTCTATTTCTTGTACTATCTGGTTATATAATAATACCTGGAGATCTTGGCTGTCTTAGGTTGATAAATTTATACAAGTGATCATTTAATGGCCTGTTCATTTACTTCTTGTGCTCGTGAAACACTAACTGCTGTTTCTTTGAAGAGGTTCAGAGTTCTTTAAGAATAAAAAAATATTTAGTACATCTCATGTTGAATTTTTGTTGTCATCTGGGAAAGTATAACCACCTAAATCATCTTATAACTTCGTCACTGAGTTGCTTTTGCTGCATATTTTCTTTTTTTCAGTTTGACTAATGGAAATGATGTCCATTCTTCGTTGTTGTGATTGGCATAATATAATTTTTATATTTATTAAATTTGGTCTTAGTTTGTTAATAGTTTTCTCTGTTGTGGAAATGAAGTTCACCATTGGCTGTTTTGTGGTTAGAGAGAATGCTAATGGGAAATATCAAGAGAGCAATCAGGGATGGTGTCAGTGATGGGTTTGAGCATTGGAAGAGACATATAGCAGCTCTTCTTCTTATGTAACTTGCCATCACCATTCATTGTTTTGTATGATAATTAGTGTGGCATATCTCCCAAACATAATCCTGAACTCTTTCAATCCGTTGGTTTGTTGAGAATGTTAAATGTAACTTTTTTGAGAGGAATGAGAATGAAAGGGGCGGTGTATGACTTGAGTCATTCTTTGAAATTTGCTTTTTTTTAAGACCTGCTAATCTTTAAACAGCTATACATAATAAATTTGTAGGTCTGATTAAATAGTTTTCAACTGCAATATGACTTATTTTTAGTTTCTTTTAATTCTGCTTAATGAACAAGTCTACGGGGAGCTTCACAAGTGTACAAGCAATAGGGATGGCGAAATTTGTTATGAGCTTGTGGGTTAATTGCTTGCAAGTCCTCATGATTCCATTAATATCATCTATTGCCGTCAACTTTGTAATTTGTCAAATGAGATTTAATCCGCATTAGCAATGTAATGGCAACAGTTTTCTATTCTAATTTATAAATCTGTAGAAATTTGTTAATCTTTAATATGTAAACTTAATAAAATATCCCATCTTTCCATTGAGAGTCATGTGACCCGATTTAGTAGCATGGAATTTCTTTTAATGGTTATTGTCAATTTGAGAGGTATGAGAGGGAAAAAACTTGCTTTATTATACAAAATACTCCCTATTTATAGATCTATACAAGATCTAATGAAGAAACAAAATAACTATAAAATAATTGCTGAAATAAATTCCTTCCTAAACTAAATGTCTAGTTATGGAAGGTATTCAACGTGATCCAGGCGGGCTTCCCACGGATCACTGATCATAATCGTGGGATCGATTTTGCAAGGGAAGGCTGAGATTTAGCACTCCCCCTCAAGTTGGAGAATATAGATCTGTCATTCTCAGCTTGGCAATCATTCTGAGGATGGAAGAACTATCCAATCTTTTGGTAAGGATGTCTGCAAGTTGATCTTTTGATGATACATGATCGACACTTACTATACCACTGTCTAGTTTTTCTTTAATAAAATGTCTATCCACTTCTATGTGCTTGGTCCTATCATGCTGCAGTGGATTATGGGCTATACTAATTGCTGATTTATTGTCACAATGTAGCCTCATGGGCTCATCCCACTTGACCTTTAAGTATTATAGGATTATTTTGATCCATAGTAGCTCACATATTCCCAAGTCTATAGCTCGATATTCTGCTTCTGCACGAGATCTTGCCACCACATTCTGTTTCTTGCTTCTCCATGTAACTAAGTTACCTCCAAGAAATGTGCAGTATCCAGAGGTAGATCATTTGTCAACCGCTGATCCTGTGTAGTCAGCATATGTGTATACTTATAGGTTTATTCCGCGATCTCTCTTAAAGAGAATCCCTTTTCCTGATTTTCCTTTAAGGTAGTGCGATATCCTATCTACCACTTGCATGTGAATCTGCTTTGGATTCTGCATAAACTGACTGATCATTCTTACAGAAAATGCTATATCTGATCTAGTGTGGGAGAGGTAGATCAATTTCCCTACAGGTCTCTGATAGGCCCCTTTATTTATATCTGGATCTTCTCTAGCTTCCCCAGTTTAGGATTAAAGTTCTACTGGTGTCGGTGCCGATTTACAAGCTAGTTTACCTGTTTCTTTTAGAAGATCTTTGATGTATTTCTGTTATGAAATGAAGATTCCTTTGCTGGAGTGAGCTACTTCAATTCCGAGAAAGTATTTTCGTCTACCAAGTTCTTTGATGTCAAATTCCTTAGTAAGACTTTTCCTTAAACTAACTTTCTCCTCTTCGTTATTTCCCGTCAAAATAATATCATTAACATATACTAATAATATTATGACTCTCCTTGAGTCTAAGTGTTTAAAGAATAATGTATGATCCCCTTAACTCTATCGATACCCATTAAGGAGCATGAATTTAGAGAATCTTCCGAACCAGGCCCTTGGTGATTGTTTGAACCCATATAGAGCCTTTTTCAATCTGCACACACTGTTACCTTCGAATTTTTCTTTAAACCATGGTGGTATTTCCATAAATATCTCTTCTTCTAAATCCCCATGTGGGAATGCATTTTTCACATCCAATTGTTCTATATGCCAGTTGTACTTGGCTGTTAGTGAGAGTAGTATTCTGACAGTATTCATCTTGGTTATAGGCGTAAACGTTTCTTGGTAGTCAATGTCATATATTTGAGACTTTTGAGTATACCCTTTTGCCACCAGTCTTGCCTTATATCTCTCTAGTGTGCAATCGGCTTTATATTTTATTGAGAATACCCATTTGCAGCCGACCGATTTTTTTCCTATCTGTAGATTAACAATCTCCCATGTTTTGTTCTTTTCTAGGGCATACATTTCATCCTTCATGGCATTTTTCTAATTTTTATTAGATAAGGCCTCAGAAATATCCTTAGGAATATGGATATCTTCTAATGTAACAAGAAAATTTTTGTGTGACGACGAGAAGTTGTTGAAGGATATAGAGGTCTTTATAGGGTATAAGGGAGGTGGTGAGCTTACCTTTTTTTGGGAGATGGTTCAAATTCTTGGTTCTGCTTTGCAGCATAGCTCCAGTTTGTTCGTCTGGAGTAAACCTTTTGATGTAGGCAAAGGGGGGTCAAAATAACTTGGGTTCTTTTGGTCTTTGGGCTGATGGTTGCCTCTCGGATTGGGCCTTGGCTGCTTTGGTTTTGAGCTAAATTCTTGGGAGCTACTTGGTTCTAGCTCATTATTGTTTGAGCTGATGTTTTAGCTCATTAATTGGAAGAGTATTTGCACTTGATAGCTCATTAAGAGGAGTGTTTTCTTGCCCCTTTCCTTGTGGTGGCTGTCCCGATCCCCCTAGCTGCTGGCTCCGTCTCTTGTGCTGCCCCTTTGGTTCCCCCCTGGCTATCTGTTCCAATTCTCTGGGTTGCTGGTTCTGGTTCCCTGTGTGCCTGTTCCGGTTCCCCTTGTGCCCTTTCAGTTCATCCTCTAGCTGCTTGTTTCGTGGATGCTTTTTCTTGTTTCATGTGTTTCTTTTTTGGGTGCTGTTATGGAATTAATTTTGGCCTTTTTTGGGCTGTTTGGCTGCTGTTTTTGGACAGCCAGCTGACCTTTCATTTCCCTTACCTGATTGGTTTATTTGGAGGCCTGTTATGGGCTGTTTGGCTGCCATCTTTTCTCCTATAAATATTAGATGTTTTGTAATGAAAAAAGAGGATGTTATGATGCAATTTTTATAGCAAAAAACCAGAGGTTATTTCTTCTTTCTTAGAAAAGCTTGAGAGCTTGTTTCACTTCTCTTCGTCTTCCTTTAGGAAAGCTTGCGAGCTTGTCCTCTCTTCGTCTCGGGCTTCTTACCTCTTTCTTCTCGCCGCAAGTGACCACCCCATCTATATCTTTCGTCTCAAACAAAGAAGAGCTCCTTTAGGTGTTGTTTATGTTTGTGTTTGTAAGCGTCAAAACTTGTGTCTTTTTATGATATCAAAGGTGTATTTTGAGTATTTCGTGTTATTTCTTATTATCCTAGGAAGAATTACTTTTGCTAGCAAAAATTAGGGGCTTCTTCCTAATTTTTTCTTGCATCAAAATGGTATTAGAGCTTTAGGTTGTGTACAAGTCTTGTTGTGAGTCTTTAGAAAAAAAAATATTTACGATAATGAGCAGTCCAAACCATCGTCCTATGGAAATCTCAAGTCAAGAGCCGACAAAATTTCAAGATGAATACGATCCTGCCAATGTTGAAAGTTAAACACCATTGCCCAGTACTAATGAAGTTGGCATTTCAACAGACATCAGTCTCTCTCCCAAAGGGGATTCAATAGACCCGATTCAAAATGAACAGTACAAGTTACAAAGATTGAAGAATTGAAGCGGTCAAACAAAGAAAAATCTTAATCGAACTCATCAGGAGATGAGGTTATTCCACCATGAGAGAATTGATGCAAGCAAAATGGGAAGAGCCGGCTGGTTCTTGGTTGCTTGGGTTGGTTGTTCGGTTCCCGGCCCGTTTGGCTGTTCGGATGGCTGCCTATTGGCCTTTTTTCTCCTCTTTTCTAATTGGTTTGAGTGGGCGGCTAATTTGGCTTTTGGGGTTCCTAATTTATGGTGATTTTTGGAATTCCTAATTTATGGTGACTTCTGAGATTCCTAATTTATGGTGAATTTTGGGATTCCTAATTTATGGTGACTTTTGAAATTCCTAATTTATGGTGACTTTTGAGATTCCTATTCTCCAATTTATGAGGGCTGTTTTGTGGGCTTCTTCTTCCCTCCTATATATAGAATTGTTTTGGGCTGTTTTAGAAGTATGTTTTGGTGAGAAAATATTTGGAATGTGAAATCTGCGGGTTGTGTTCTAGCTTGCGAGCTAGTTCCCTTTCTCTTCTCCTCTCTTTGATTTCGTCTCGGGCTTTTTATCTACTTCTTCTCTCCATGGTTA